CATAGGAACGATAACAGCCACATGCTCTAGGAATTACTCGAGCTAGCCTTGTGTCAGCACGAATGATCAGAGTCGCACACATAGATAGTGGAGTCAGCGAATACGATCTCTACGACAAAGCAGTGCCAATTCGCGATCCCTGGAATGTACATATGTGTACAACCCTCATGTGGCTTCCCTCCGACACTAGGCTACATTCCTATGACCACTTCATCATACACTCAGGCACGGTGTATGCGTTACCCAAAACCCAGAGCGACTCGTGCTCAATGGTAACAATGCGTACAAACTCGGTGTTCAGTATGACTCGTCCAAGAACGTCAAACGATTTTGGACATCGTTGAGCACAATCGTACAACAAGTCCATGACCATGTCAATGTGCTGCATCGAGAAAAACCAATAAAAATATCAATGATGTATTTCATTTCATAAACAAAAAAAGTATACAAAATAAATAACAAATAAGAATAATACACTTACATCGTCCGGGAGCCAGGATCTCAGTCAGATGACGTTGTGGAACCACTTGTACGCATCCAGGATCATCTTTGAAGATATAGTATTGTGGCTCTGAAACAATACAGAAATAAGGTTAAACGACGCATAAAAGAGTAAGCGTAGTGTACGTTAATAAAATAATACAATACGTACCCAGGCTTCATTAATCTTTATGTCGGCTTGAACACTTTCCATTTCGAGGGTCCGCCTCCCGAAAGAGATTGTGGTATGTCTCGTCAACGAGCGTCCTCCTCTTCACCTCAACCGTGAAGAGAGAAACGGCGTACTATGAGGCAACCTAGCCCTCTTGCCGACCATCTACTCTGGGCCGTCCATGACACGCTTTTTCCCCTCAACCACGTCTGGAGTACTCTTTTCCTCCACCCCGGGGACCACAATCTCCTCGGGGCTCCCCACCTCTAGCGCCATCGGGGTTACCTCATCGGTCCTCTCCTTCGAGCTGGGAACCGCGACCCCCTCGTCGCTTCCCAACTCCTCCGCCACTGCCATCGGGGTCACTGCCTCCAACATGTCCTTCCTAGCCACCCCTCTCGTCCCCGTCGGGGCCACCGCCTCCTTCCTATCTTCCCCGGCCAACCCTTTCCTCTCCATAGATAACGAAAATGATTCCAAATTAGCATCATCCGCCCAGAACTGTTCGGACCCCTCTCCGTCACCCCGACTATCACCTCATCCCCTTCCCACTATATCGCCTCGAAAGGTTGTAACATCATCTTAAAGGTCTAGCAAGTGGCAACGTAGAACTCCAACATCATTAGATAAATCCTATAAACTCTCGTCGCATCTCGTCCATCTGTTCCGTCAGGCGGTTGTACTGATCATCCACCCTTCCTATCAACTCTTATCACAGTCTCCCCATCTCCCTCGCTATAAATACAGTCAGGCGGTCATACAGATCAGGGGAATACTGCCTCTAACTGTGTCCAGGAGATCCATGGGGTAGGTGACTGGATGGGGGAGAAGGAGACCTGATTGGCAGATGTGATCCACTAGGCAATGGTAATACCCTCGGCGGTGATAATACCCTCGACGGAGGAGATTCCCTCAACATAGGTGGTCGTCGATTAACTGGACCACGCTCCTACACGAATGGGAACATTAAAATTATTTTTTTAATGAAAATCGGCTAACACATACAAAACTATAATCAATAAATTATATTTAATTCACGTACCTCATCTTGGCCCAGGATGGAATCGGACACCCGATTTGCGGAGCGGCTAATTCACGCACATAACCACGAGCTTCCTCCTCTATCGACGACATCAACTCAGTTATGACTTCAAACTGACATATCCACATTTCGACTAGTTAATGATCATGTGATCAGATTTTGGAGCTACACACAACATAAATCGCAAATGTATTATCTCACCTGAGGGTCGTTGAGGAGAGCTGATAACTTCTCTTTCCTTGGATATCCATCTGCTCGGGATGCTCGCTAATGATACATTCGAGGGCTGCGTGTCTCCCCTCGGCTCGCAAATCGGGTACCTAGGACTAGGACCGGCTCGTATGCCAGATCTGCAGCACATACAATTATTATATTCATATTTATTATAAATAATATTTTAACGTTAATTATGTCAAACATTTATCTGCACTGCCGAGACAATCCATATGTATCGTACTTACCCATGGTCCCCTTCGGCCTCAAGTGTGATCTGGTAAAAACGTGTACCGTGTCCTCGAAACATATCCAGCCCCACGGATGTGCTGAAGACATCAAGATCATTAACGATCTCCAGATGAAAGAGGTCGATCATAGTCTTCATGTGGTGATATTGTAACATACTCTCAAGGATGTAGACCAGGCAGAGCTTCAGTCTGTCTAACATATGGTCACATCTCCTGATCGCGTCCATCAGCTGCGGCAGAAGCACCGTCCCCTGTTAACAGGAAAGTTAAATACAGAATTAAACAAAAAATGAATTAAACAAAACAATATTTAAAAATTAAATACAGAATAAAAATATTTTTTAATATTCGAAAAATTAAATTATTAATAAAATTAAAAAAATGACATGGGCCGGTTGGCTGTTAACCGCCGCCCGGCTTCCATTGTCGAAAATTGTCATTTCCTGCGATGGAGAGCTCCAATAACGGAGCTATTACATCTAAAAAGGTCAAAATTTCTCCATAATCACTAATACTCAAGAAGATCTATCTATGTATGAACAAATAAACTAAAAAAAAAAGTAAAAATCATTAGAATTCCTTATATGAAAAACCTGATTTTAATCACAAAAACTAACCTTCTCTTTCGCCAGTGACAGGGTTGTTTTTGTGATTGTCGGCGCCGGTGACTTCGTGGTCGATTTCGTCAACTTTTTTGGTGGTGGTTTTGGGTCGGTTTCGGCTGTGCTTTTGGAAAGTTGGGATATTTTTTACTTTTCTTGTGTAAAGTTATATTTTAACTTTTTCATTTTTTTTATTCTATTTACTGGACAAATGCCAAAGTGGAAATATGGGGTAGTCAACAGGCCATTTCCACGTATTTCCTCATGCATATATGTGGAATACATAGAGGTGTCAAGACGGACGGGCCGACCATGACCCGTAAAAATCGGCCCGTGAAA